ATATTTGGCAGAGCAGATACCAAAGGAAACTGGTAGAAGACTTTGAAAACTAATGGTCTAATCTCTAATTAATAGAGTTAAATTAATTGTCACGGTAGAAACAATACGCTGCAGCACATACAATAAAGATATTAGTCTCTATATGACTGTGAAATCAAAGAATGAAATGCTAAAAAAATAAGAGTTTCATAAGAGAAAATAAGATCTGATCTAGATCACACTGATTTGTTTATTCAATCTGATTCTCCTACAGGCCAATAAGAACATGTAGTTGCTAGATCAACATAAGTGTTTATATAGAGTTCAGCAATTCCACGGAACCGCTCCAATCACACCCCAACAGCAGATGCCTGGGGTTGTCCCCTCCACTTAAATTGATAAAACTGATAAAAACCAAATATGTTTTCTGTCCGTTGATGTAAACAAGAAAAAAATAAATTGTAGGCTATAGCAAATACGGTTTTGTCAATTGATATTACTCAAACTGAAAACAGTCAAAAACAACTGATCCATTAATCATTAACAAATGGGTTACATAAACTTTAGACAGAAAACAACCATTTTAATTAGCATGCCAATTTGCAGTAAACTCTACTATCTGTATAGATGCATTTTTATTTTATTGAAAATTATTAAGTGGGTAAAATTGTATTCAACAGATATGGAGACTGAAGGGGAGGTGAGAAGGAAAGAGGGGATAAGAGCTAAGGGGAGAAAGGAAGAGATAAAGGCAGGAAAGAGTGCATGAAAAGAGAGAAAATAAAACAGCAAAGAAAACAGCACAGAATATATACAGTAACCCATAGAAGTCTGCTTCCATACCTGTATGAAATGAGAGGAACAAAAAAAAAAAAAAAAAAGGGGCATAACAGCAAAAAGAAGACGACAACTTCAAGACTAGCGGGTATCAATCATGTGTGCCCCCCAGCAACACGTCAACCCCCCAATAACTGCACATCCGTCCCCCACAGATGCCAGAGCAGGTAGCCAATCTGCCAAGGGTGACCGGGTCTGAGGCAGCTGCTGCTTGGTATTCCCAGTGACAGCACAGCACTGGTATGTGGGGGTCTGCATGCCTCCGACAAAAAAATAATATTTTCAGGCAGGACCACAATCTTGATGAACTGACTGCACAAATGATGTTTTGAGGTGGACACTCTCACTATTAAAATATCAAAACTACTTTTTACCCACTGATCAAAACAAATATAGCAAAGCCGCTCTCTGCTATTGAACACAGGAGCAGCATAAGCATCTGTACACACTTTACAAAACTTAATGTATACACGCATCAAAAAGGAAGCAGGTGCTTTTTTGCTGCTCAGATACGAGAGTCGCTACCAAGAAGTGAGTGGATCAAAAGGATGACAAGTTTGCAGATATTGAGGCGGATTTATGGTGGAAACTTTAAGGTAAAGGTTGTCAATCCAGCAGAGGAATCAAACAACTGTCAGGCAGTAAAAAAAATACAGTCCAATATCATCACGGGAACTTTCTAATAGACCGTATGAAAATTTGAACAACAAAAGAAAAGCTTATTGTGGTCCTCAAGGTGGCTGTTCAAACAACAGAAGGGTATGTGAATTTTTTATTGGGAAATGTAACAAAGGCATGGCCATTACTAGAACCATCATCCAGCCAAAAGGTATGGACAACGCTAAGGAATAAAACATACAAAAGCCAGCTGTACACCAGCTTTGTGAATGGATCCTCCACACATGGGATGGGGGGGTATATGTGGGACAAAAAGGGAGGAGACACCAACAATGCTTGGGAATGCTCCTGATGAGGTGAAGGATGGTCTCCTGAGGGAACTTCCCCTGAGACATGGACTAAAGCATCCGCCAACTCCTGGACAGTCTGTGGTCCAACGTGACCTTGGTGGATGGATCGAGACATGATGTCCCAGATGTGCTCAATCTGATTTAAGTCTGGGGAACAGGCAGGCCAGTCCATAGCTCCAATGCCTTCTTACAGGATCTCCTGACACACACTAGCCACATGAGGTTTGGCATTGTCCTGAAGTAGGAGGAAACCAGGGCCAACCGCACCAGCGTATGATCTCACAGGGGGTCAGGATCTCATGTCAGTACCTAAGGTAGACATGCTACGTCTGGCAAGCACATGGTGAACTCCAAATAAATGCTACCAAGAGTGTGAAAGCGCCACCAATATTCAAAGATTACCAAAACAGCCAGAAAGCATAGGTAATGAGAAGAGGTCTGTGGTCTCCACCTGCAAAACCACTTCTTTATTTAGTGTGTGTTGGTAACTGCCAATAATTTCCACCTGTTGTCTATTCCATATGCACAACAACACGTGAAATTAATCAGTTTTGCCTTCTCACCGGACAGTTGGATTTCACAGAAGTTTGATATAATTTAAGTTATATAGTGCCGTTTGTGTGTTCCCTTTATTTTTTTTTTAAACAGTATAGATTGCCTCTTCATATTAACATAAGAAACAGCTTCTAATCTGAAAGGATTTAGAGACTGGTCAGCAACTAGAAAACCTGTCTCTAAATCCAGGTTTCAAGAATTTGGAACAAATAATGAATTTTTGTAATAAAAACCAGAGAATATGAGAAAAGGATTTCAATTTTACATTGCCTACCCCTGGTGTTTAACAGTAGATATTAACACCCCATACTTCTGTGCTGAAAAACTACATTGAATACTTTTCTACGCATTAACAGCTAGTCATAACTAGAGGCTCTAAGTATTAAACAAAGTGAAAACAATGTAATTATGAAAATAAATATTGCATAATATTTTCATGTATGGGTTCCAGAAACAGCAATTATCTAGACAATTTTAACCACTTCAATTGAATATTTATGACTAGAAGATATATCCTTTATATGATTTCAATCCAAAACTGAGTTTATAAAACATATCTGAATATTTAACATTATGAAGAAAATTACCACAAGCAAACTGTGCTGCCTGAATCAACACAGCTACAATTAAGCGCCACTAGTGATCACTAATTAGGCAGTTACTGGTTTCGGCAAACTCGCTTTAATAAATTTTATTTTAACCAATTATGACCTTTTCCAATTAATACAAACAAACCAAATCAAACTTAGGAACCCTAAAACCAATAAAACGGTCACCACAAGGTCAAAGTAGGACTCCCCGTGCATGTGATCAAGGCTTTATGTAGCCTAATTTAACATTCATTTACAAATGCATTGTGTAAAAAAACAAAAGGATGCCTGCTTTAACCACTAGGCCAACACTCCTCTACATCACTAATATTATCTACTCTGGAGCTTCTAAATGTTAGCTCTATGCAAAAGACTTATTTTTATGAACTGGCTGCTGTCAAACATTGATTTAAGTCGTTGTTTTTTTTTTTTTTTTTTAGCTATTCTTTGGTATTTTGTTGCCTAATTATTAAACTTTTTATTTGCATCACTGATTCATTTATCTTAATTGCATTAACAATTGTGCAACATAAGTTGTTGAAAATGATGTATATATTTACACTTGCCCGAGGCATATTGAGATATGTCCTTTTTTGACAGAAACCATTTCAAAATGTAGTTTGTGTCCATAAAGATATACAAAACATACAAGACAACCTGTTGCCTTTAAATACTACATGCAAGCCCATCACTGTGATTAAAATATTTATCCACAGACTTCTACAGTAAATTGCACTAATTCTGTAGCAAACCAGTTATTTTTACCCACAAATAATTCAAAAGATAATCCAAAATATTAAGAACTTGCATTATCTATTCCAGCATTTATCTGCACCAATTAGCTTACAGCTCCCTATACGGTTTAGAATCTAAAAAACTGTTTAATCCAGCCTGCTAAATAATTTCTTCAGTTGTACAATATATCTACAAAATCAAAACTAAAATAAAAAAAATTGTAAATTCATTGTTATATATTCTGAGAGACCTTTTTGAGATACTTTTACTGTGAATGGGATAACCAAATCCAGGCAGAATTAGGCATAGACCAATATAACATCAATTCTAGGTGATCGTCCAGATTACACTTACAGACAACATGAGGGAAAAAAATATATATTCCTCACATCCCCATTCTAATATAGCATTTTATAATTTAGACAAGTGATGGAGGGGCTGAACCATTTCACTCAATGCATCACACTAGAGAAAGGTGCAGTCACTCTTTGATGTACTGTGGCAATTCAATAAGCTGATGTTATTGTAAGAATAATATGGAGCATTGTATTGTCTCCAAAGCCAATCTTGTTTTTGCTTTGTTATGTTATCTGTAGTAGGAGTAGGCAGAACAAGCAACCAACTACCCCTGGAGGACCAACCAAAGGGGAAGAACAGCTGACTTCAATATAAATGACAGTATAAGAGAGATTATCCAAAATGTTAATTTAACAAACCTAATTAAATTTTGCAGATAACATTACACTTTCTAATAGTGGCAATAAAATATAAAGGAGCAGTTTAATTTGTTTTATAAAATATACTAGCAATCAGTATTTAAATTTAAGTCTAATATGAATTTTTTTGTTGTCTGAAGAGGCCACCTCAAACGTTTTACTCAATGTTTAAATAAAACATATTGGGTCAAAAACATACGTTAATATTTTTTTAGGAGATGCTAAAACTAAAAACACTCTGCAAAAACTTTACCTTCTCTGCTATTTATGTGCTGGTAGAACTGAGATCACAACTAGGAGTGGGTTTGCTTCAATTTAAGACAATTTCATTTCTAATTTGTTTTTAGCAGCTGTTGTTTCTTAGCGGCCCCTGTGTAAACACTCCCCTCAGAGACGTTGGCTACGTTAGCAGCTATTTTGAAGTAACGCCACACGCGAATACTTAAATTTCCACGTTTAAAAGACACTTAAGACACATTTTGTGATGCAACGTACAGTACTGCAGATTCTCCACATATAGCTTTAGGTGAATTTTGCAAACAGCGCGTAGAGGAGCCATGTCATTAAATTAGCTTGAAGTAAGCTAGCTAGCAGCGTAGCTTCGGAGGCGAGCTACTCACATTTCTTCAACCACTTCATCCAGTAGCGAACAATAAGGCCGTGGTGTTTCTTGTTTTCAATGCACCAAGCCGAGAGGCTCTGTATAGACTCCATAGTGTTGGAAACTTTTTGAAAACGTCGGTCCAGTGAGGCTTCCAAAGAAGCAGTGGAGCTGCGGGCTCCCTGTCCGCTTGCTGCTCCTGAACCGGCCGCCATCTTGCCTGTTCTGCCTGCTGATGTTGGGGATGAAGCAGGTTGGGGTAAAGAAGGCGAGGAGGGAGGGGGAACACACGCCCCCAGTGGTTTTAATAAAAAAAAAAAAAAGGTGCAAAAAACACTATATTAAATTCTTTAGAAAAAATAGGAGGCAAAATTTGTTGTATTTCTGTTTATTTGAGGCAGAAACCGCTATGGTATGAGTGAAGGGTAGCTACAAAGCCAAAAAAAAAAAAAAAATGCTTTTATTCAATGAAACTTGCATTAAAGCATTTTGGATCCTGGTTTTCGAGGGGAAAGCTTGTGTGGTTTTGGTTTTGTGTGCATTTTTCACTGAGTTAACACAAAACCTGTGATAGTTGTTTCTAATAAGGGGAGGTTCTAAACTCTTTCAGTTTAAATGGATTGAGACAAGTTTACATCTTAATCACAAAATTATCAGTCAACAGATCTCCTCACCACATTATGCCTTTGAAAAGTTGTTATATTGAACTAGGCAATCCATCCACAAAAAAAAAAATTAAAGTCAGACAGAAAAAGCCTTTGTGAGCAAGACGCTGCAGATTTATACACATACTTATCTACACACACCTGTATCCATACCATTCTCACAAAAAAAAAGCAGAAGGAAATGACTCGCACATGTTCGTTGTCGCTCCTTTTTTATGTTCAAGTGTCTTAGTGAAGCCTATGTCCATCCAGTAACCAGCAGATGGGGCGGCTGGCTTTTAGGCAGGCGATCTGCAGGCTTGACGGTGGTAGTCACTGACTAAATCAACCACTCCACTGGTTTGTTTCAGTCATCTGTGCCTTCCAACACACTCTGGCTCAGCGCTAAGTCCCAGTAGTGTTCTGTGCCGTGCTTCTTGAAATGCTCTCGAGCCATGTTCTCAGTGGGGCACTGCTTGAACTTCATCTCTCCAAAGCTCCGCTCCTTAGCTGTCCCCTGTGGAGCAAGAAGAAACAGTTGACATTAGATAATACAGAAGAAGCAACAAAATTAAAGATATGCCTGCAAGATGTAGAACGTGGGCACACCGACCTCCCAAATAAGCCAACACTTGTTGTTTCTCCTGGTATCATCATCGCCATCTGGATCTAAGAGATAAATATTAAATAAGGTTTCCCAGGTATTAAGCCCCCCCTCCCCAAAAATCAAACCAGACTGAAAACAATTGTACCATCTCTTTTACTGTTGTGTTCCTCCCATTTAATTCTGTGCATCATCAGCCTCTTGAACTTTTTCTGGGCTTTAGGGCCTAAAATGGAAACAGAAAATCAAGGTTTAAGTGCAAGATCAAAATCAAAATGTATTTAACACCAAAATACTTTTGTTTTTAGTTGCAAAAAAATTTATTGGTTTGCAAAAACACTTAAAAACAGTAAACAATCCAATAGTGTTAGATGTATTTTTTGCAACGCATCTAACTAACATAATAAGCAAACATAATCTCATTAAAGACTTGCATCAGTTATTTTTTCCAAGTTCTGTCATATTAACACCATTTTATGTGATATATCACAAGTAGTGCCTGTTTATAAAGTTAAAATAGTAAGCTTTATCTTTCACATTTCTTATAATTGTCTAAAGATGTCGAGAACATTTTTCTATTCAGCCTCCCTGTCTCAATACATCTAGAGTGATGTTTTTACCCATTCTGTATGATGTTTAAACAAAACATTTTCATTATTATGGCTCTGGCTGTACAATTTACAATTCTTCACTGTCAGTTTACCCCCTGCGGATGGTGTGATGGAGGAGATGTGCAGTTGCTAGTTGGGACAACATAAAGAGCTTTTCTAAGAAGCATAAAAGTTCAGGTTTTTATGTTTTAAAAGAAAACAGCACCATGAGCTCACTTGAACCACCGGTAAGATACACAAGATTTTAACTAATGACCCAACAAAAGGTGGTTTTGGTTTCTTATTTAACACAAAAATTTAAAGATCATCCTATCTTTTTGAGATCAGAATGTCTCGACAATAAAACACTGACCTGAATGAATACAAATCTATTCCATATTATCTGGTTAATTTTAATACATGAAAGAATTAAATAACAGTTAAAAATTCCCATTTTACTTAATTTAAATGAATAGCCTTTGTAATTGAAGCAAAAAGCTCACTGCTCCCCAAAGGAGATGGGTTAAATGCAGAGAGTTAATTTCACCATTGTGAGATCAATAAAAGTTCCATGTATTAATTTATCAATTTTATTTATTTACTGCTATGTCCATTTCTAATCTTCCTTTAGCTGATGCTAAATCTACACACAGCCTTGGCAAACACATTGATCTTAACCTTTAAAATATGAAACGTACCACTTCTATATAGATCAAAGCATAAATTCTTACCTCCCTCCACTACAACTAGATTGACGTCTCTGTGCAGAACCACTGTGCCCGTCAGGTACAGCTGGTTGGCGTTTGCCTCCACTTTAAATTTCTTTGCTGGATTTTGCAGGTTACGGATCCTAAACGACAGCCATAGAATGTTAAACTGGGCCACAATTGCTGATCATAACACATATTTTGGCACAATCATAGTGATTCATATCCTCTTTGCTTACCTGTACACTGAAACATGAACACCATTAGTAAGGTCTTCTTTTAACTTCTTAACCTTCTTTTCTTTCCTCTGCTCTGCTGTCAGCTTACGAGCTGCATTGGCCTCTTCATGAGCTCTGCAGTTTGACAACAAAAAAAAAAATCAGTTTGATTTTAAAAGAAATGCCAAGATGATTAGTCTTTGAATTGATGTTGCAAACTTGACGATGTTACAAACTTTTGTCTCTTGGCCATCTGCGCCCTCACGTGTGCTTCTACTTTAGTGGGATCCTGAACAGCCTCCGTCCCCAAGACTCGCATCAGATTAGAGATACGTACTGAGAGAATAGAAACAAACATCAATAGCAACATTCAACTTGATCCAACCCAGTAATTGTTCCCTACCATATCTATATGTGTACCTTTTGGTTCTGGTGGAGGCATCAGTCCAAGGCGAACCTTTTCCTGAACTTCCTTTTGTCCTTCTCTCCGTGTTTGTCTCCTAAGTTTCTTCTGTTCCTTCTTTGTAAGGTACACTCCTAATGTTACTGGTTTGTCTGTGTCAACTGGAGGAGAGAAATGCAGCCACTAGTAATGAGGACAACTATAACGACATCAGAATGCTTTAGTCATGGGCAAAGGACAAAATCTGCTTTTTGAATTTATATTAATATAATCGAGAGTAAAAAAAAAACTATGATAAAGACTAGAGGTGTTGCAATACAAATTTACTTTACAGTTATGAGAACAATTGATCCATTTATTATAAACCAATGGGCTACTCTAAACAGACAATATTCAGCATATAGGGCCATATATTTCTATACAGTTTTTTTTAGATGATATTGGACCAATTTCTGATTTTAATAGAGGATCAGGAAATGTTTAACAAAGGCAATAAAAGACACTTAAGAGCTGTAAAATAAAGCTGACGTTATTAAAAAGGTAAAGATCTGCAACTTGAACAGACACTTGGCAGGCTAGGCGAGATAAAAAGATTTAAAGTTTATGCTTCTTAACTAAATTAAACTATTGCATTAGGGCAGGACAGGCAGAGTAAAAATATCTACCTTTGTCACTGTTGAGTGAACTGTTATACTGTATTAATAGTTACAGCACTGTTGAGTGGGCATTGGTTTTATTAAGCTCAAAGAGGATTGAAGTGGGAAAGGGTATTAGCTAATGCCGGATTTTGAACCACTCGTAATAATAGGTTTGACAAGTAAAGTATAGTAACAAAAAGTTATAATAAAATACAATACAGCAGAAGTATAAAACTCTGAATTTCTAAACCATAACTTACCTGGTGGACTAATTTGAGCGGGATGTTCTACTAGATTTGTTACACCAAAAAGGTCAAACTCTTCAAATTTTGAGTCCGGATTTCTGGTCAACCGGGAAATAGAAAAGGAGAATAATAAGTCAGTCATTTTTTCACATCTGTTATCTGTAATATTTAAACAGCACTGTCAAGAATACAACGTCTAGCCAAACAGCCTCATTGATTTCCTTACATGGCCGTGTTGGATGGTAATATGAACGAGTCCCACCACTCAATATGAGGAACCTCCCCTTCTCCAATCTCTTTTTTCGGAGCAATCAGTGCCAGCTTGGTGGACGCTTGAATTCCTGTTTTCTTTGCAGCCTGAGCAATTTCATTCTGCAGCCTCTCCAGCTGAGCCTGAGTGTGTTAGACCAAGAGAAGGCATTAAAGATGCAACATGTTCCATTAAACAAAAAAATAAATCTTAAGATAGAGAACTTATATTTCTACCTTGGTTCGAACTCTCTGAGCAATCTTCTCAAAGCGGCCCGGTTCGTGGAATTTGAAGCCCCTGCGAGCTCGCTGAGCGGGTGTTATTGGTACACGCTGGTCAAAGTAGGATGTAGACTCTATGTCATCTCCAGGCTTCTCCTTCAGCTGCTGGCGAAACTGCTCCCTCTTTACAGCCCGTATGTTAGCTGTACAGGGACAGGAGACCATTTAGAGCAGTTTCCATAGTCAACAATATAAGATAACATGAAATATTTATAATAACCAGACGGGAGGCCCAGCATTGTTCCAATTAACAAAAACACAAAACCCAGAACAAACAAACTCCCCAGATGATGTTCTTGCCCCTCCCTATTTACAGAGTATGCATCAGAGCAGACTTGTGCTTTCTCAAGACTGACAGCTGTCCCAGCATGCACCGCGGCAGCTTCCAGTAGAGACTCACAGCGCTAAAGTTAAAAGTTCTCGTTTCTGTTGCCGTTGTTCTATTAAACGGCCTGTTTAATACTACGATGGCTTCCTAAGTCAAGGGAGATGTAGGCTTCCTATATTTTGGTCGGACCTATGTGGGTTTGTATTCACACCTGGAAGGAACTGCACCGAGGTCCACTTGGAAAAGGAATGAGACCACCTCAAAAATTGGGTCTGAAACTATGTTATTAATAGTAACGAAGTATGAAAAGCTTCATAGTATAAATACTTT